GAGAACGTTCGATTTTAGTTGGTTTGACAGGCCGATTTTAGGTGCATATTAATTAAAATCATTTTATTCAAGATACAACCGTGGATGTTAATGCTACAACGCCGGAATTGAGAGGTAAATTTTATGACTCTCGAACTATGTTTTTGAAATAAATATTTCAATAAATTTGTCATTTAAATAAGCTAGTTTAAAAGGTGACATTTGGCATTTGTTTCGCGAGTCTCTTGCAGGAGAGATGTCAACGTTTGATTGGCTAATTTAATTTCTGTATTCGATCAACGTTTTTTTTGCGCATGGTGTCATTATGGCAACATTTCCCACCTTCTTTGAAGCGGGTCTTTCTTGCATAGGCGAAAGTAGTTAAGCTGAGTTCACAACGAAAATGTACCTACGAGAATCAGTATTTCAGTATGGAAATTCAAGGTAGTATAGCTTTGTCTTATTGAAGGCTTACCTTTATGACTTCGTTCACGAGCTATCAGTCAGTGGTCCTCAATGAAATCGATTCTCTTTTAACTACTGACCTGGTCTTAACAAATGGAGTTGGCCATCTCTTTTCAGGTCACACACCACATACGTCCTCGAACTATAACCTACAAAGGTTTCTTTTAATTTTATCCCAAATATTCTGCAAAATATGGTGATTTTTTTCCAATTTCCTTTCAATCGCATTACATTGGTTTGAATCCCTGTTTGTACCATAAATATTCTCCTTTTTAGAAAATCCAAGCACTGAATCCATGTCAGAAGAGACGGGAAACGTAACCGTTCCACGTAAGGATTAAATTTTGTAGTTGCTAATCAGTAGAAAAAACCTTCTCTTCGCAAATTTACTTAATTTTAGCGATTGAAGAAAGTGAAAAAACAACTCACCTGGAGTCAACAACATTATGTAAGTCATGGCATTAACATTTGAAACAAGAGAGGTTGACTTAAAAAATGCAATGTACCACCGAGAATTCTGACATTTATTTCTTTATATCAAATGGCAGGCGTTTTGATGGTTATCATTAGCCCTTTAGGTGACTTCGGGGCTTCACAGATGGGAAGGAACATCAAAGTGAAAAAGGTCGAGATGGGGGGGGGGAACAGTAGAGCGTTTTAAAGATGTAAAAGAGACAGACACAAAGTTAGATTAAAAGGTGAGGTGAGTACGGTTGAAGTAGTCGAATTTGACATACAGTGGGGTGATGGTTGTTTGAAGTGAGAAGTCAACTGCCGATTAATAGACTTTTTTGCCATATGAGTATACGTTGCCCAGGGTGCACCACGTGGAGGTAAGTCTATCGCACACCCCGAATTCTGACATCGAATGACTGGGAAATGAGAATGATCACGAATTTTTTCTGCTCTAGTTCACGCAGGTCAAGCCAGAAGCCATGAAAAACCGATCCTCAACGTGTTCACATATGATCAAATTAGCGTTTAAATGCTATTTCTTTGTATTCCTGGCGGTCTCTTTTATGGGAAGTGAATTCAACACCTATTTTATAGAGTGTTGATTTTAAACGCTTTCTTAGGAAATTAAACGTAATTACCCAACCTCACTAAAAGATAAGAGCATTCGATTTCCCAAAGGTCGTTATTCTTATTTTATGAAAGTGCAAAAATGACAAATAATGGACTTACAACCTGAGGCAACTCTTTACTTACTTAACTTACACCTGTTCACTTGTATGATGGTGATACAGCTATCGTGACCCCAGATTACCTATTTGAATCATCTTTATATCTTCTTACTGGACTGTCAGAATGTATGACTAGTTTGAAAACTGCGTAACTTGCAATTCCAATCATTTTTAGCCGCTATCCTTTAATTTCATTCGAATTACCATTGTGGAATTAGTACTGAATGTCTTTATCAGGCTGACATCATAACAATATCAGGATTTTGTATTCATAGACGCACAATCTCGCGAGACATGTGAAAACTTGTATGGTTTTTGTTTACTTGACCTTTATTAGTTCAGACTTCCTAGCCAAAACGTTGATCTTACAAGTCTTATTCACCTCAGTCTGCTTTATATGGTTAAATGCTTCAAAGTATGTAACTTCAAAGTAGCTTCGCTTGTTGTATAACCTCATCAGCCATTCATTTCAAATGGCAGGCGTTTTGATAGTTATCATTGGCCATTCAGCTGACTTCAGGCTTCACAGAGAGGAGGAGGAACATCAAAGTGATAAAAAGTCGAGAGGGGGTACAGAATAATGATTCACAGATGTAAGAGAGGCAGGCAGACACAAAGGTAGAGAAAAAGGTGAGGTGAGTACTGTGAAAGAAGTCGAATATGACATACAGTGGGATCATGGCAGTTTGAAGTCAGAAGTCGGCTGCCGGTTTATAGACTTTATTTGCCGTATGGGTATACGTTGCCAGGGTGCACCACGTGGAGATAAGTCTATCGCACACCCCTGTTGTATAACCTCTAATTGGGACACAATCAGTAATTAAAATTTCACTCTCTCGTGGTTGCTAAGGGTTTCCAAAAGGATTGACCAACGAAATAATCTTTAAATGCGTTTTCCCTCGAAGTAAGTTTCAGAAATTAAAACAAAAATTTTGGAGCAGACGCTCAGAAATCATCTGTCAATGTCCAGGGCTTCCCCCCATTTTTATCTTCTAAAAATTTTTATTATCCATAACTATAGCTCAAAATGTAGCCACAGTATCGACAGTAACTGAGCCAGCCTCAGCGGAATCGACCGCAAGTAGAGTAAAGCGAGAAGTCTCTAGCCAATTTTTCTCAACTCCGTCGACAACAGAGAGTAGTTATGGAAGCGCCAGTTCCACAGGCTTTACCTCACCATCAATATCTAGTTTCGACTACTCAACTAACATGAGTACACTTTCGTCGGGTGAGTTCTCAACTTCTCAGAGCTCAACCGATTCAACTGTTGCGGGAAATTTATCAGAAGTGACCGATTCGACTCTTATTGGAAGTTCGTATTCTCTATTTACTTCGGATGTGAGTACAGAAGAAACCTCAACAGAAGGCGCAACATCAACAACAACAACAACGCCTGAACCGGAAATTATCGTTCTACCGAAAGTCAGCGTGTTTCTTGGTGCACAGGCGTCTCAAAATGGACTCACCAACACCTTTGCCGGTAAGTTCGAATTCCTCCCCCCATTTAAAGCCTCTGGTTCGATACATTTTAAGAGACCTGTCCAATTTTTTTATGATTACAGTAGCCGGTCTTACATTGAGTGAAACATACCTTCAGAAGATGCTCCAACGTTTCGAAAATTGCGGCGATGAAAACACTTGCTATTTTCTTGATGACGCAGCTTTCGTAATGGCTGTGAATAGAGGAAAACTGAACTACCAGGTATTGTAATAATCACACTAAGTTTAATGCAAATGGCTTGCCTTTTGGACACGAAGTAAACTGTGCCAGAACCATAAATACTCTCACTCAAGTTCAATCTTCTAGTCTGCATTAATTTGAGACCTGCCTTCTCCTTTAGGTTGGGTATTTCCTTGGCTACGTTGACTCGCCGTTAATGGAATCGCTTTTGGATAACAATGTCTATTCCAGGTGTGCTCTAAAATCTGGATTTGCGCATTTACGCTAAGAAGAAGATTTACGATTAAATAATATTAAACTTTTCTAGGGTGAAACACTACGACTATCAAGCCATCTGTGACTTTGCTCATCTTGGGGAAAAGAACTGTACCTCTCCAGCAATTCGCCTAATTCCCGTGAGTAGTATATATATCTCATGTTGCTGATGATTTATTTTTTGATAGTAACGCAAACTTTATTAATTCCAGAGCATTGTTCGCAGTCTTGCACAGACATTTAATCCCCACTTCTGGCTATCTCTTATTAACCAATTGGTTTCGGTATTTACTCAATTGACAAAGTAAGTCAAGACTTTTTGGAAGCAGTTAGTTTCGCAATCGTCCACTAATTAATAATTTAGGCACATCGAAAGGTCGGTTGTATGACTTTAGAGTTCAATGACCTTGGGGAGTGTAAGGAGGGGTGGGGGGTCTGATTCAATGCAATTTGGAATTAAAATTTATTGACCAACTTTGCTATGAAAGTATCACCTACCAACACTGACAGCATTGATTGAATTACTTTTCTCATCTAGTGCAGTTGGCCTTTAATAGAAGTTTGTGCTTTCTGAAAGCCTGGAATCAACATCGGTCTTGCCTCAGACGTGGCAGATCTACCATGCCAATGGCTTTTTAGCGTGTCATTGTGTTACTCTCTAGTTACCGGGTTCAAATGATGTACAATGTGAGGAAAATGAGGGAGATTCAGTTAATGACCTGCTCAAATTCAAGTGATCCATTGAAGTGATCGCATCTAATCGCACGTCAACCTCGCCACTCTGGTCTATTACGATGCTAAAGCAACCAGGGAAATCAGATACTCCAGAGCACTATTGACAGTTGTGTCTGGGAAGCATTTATCCAATCAATATTACAAAAAATATCGGCTTCTTTCCAATAGTATTATATTCCGCCTTTATCACCCAAATTAAATTACTCTATTAGAAACAGGAATTGATGATATTGGCTATTTTATCCATCTGTACACTATACTTATCTTGGATCTGCCTTTTTGCTTTTTATGGCAATAAAATCACCAATCAAACTTTCATTTTTTTACTTTTCAGTGTGCTCATTGTCTTCTCTCAAATGTTTATAAGTAAGTTGGGCTGAAAAATTCTCCCATCTTCATAAATGCACTTCCATTTTCAATCACCAATCTAAAATCGTTCTAGAAGCTTTCGCAGTTGACCAAAAAATCGATTATGTGAATTGTGTGAAATTGACCTACCGCTATTATCCAACTGACGGAGCCAACTTTGGCAAGAAACCCCTCAACATCACTGAAATCACTGGAACTTTTACTTGCTCACCTGAATGTACTCGAAAGTGGTCAGCCATATCAGTGCCGGACACCAATCTCAAATTGATAAGAACCGATAAAATTTGCGCGTGTATAAAGAAGGATTATGACTGGCGCCTTACGCCCACAATAGGTAAGTTTCATTTTAAAATTTCTTTGCATTGTCTATAGCATTCACCTTCTAACATTTATTTATTTATTTCAAATGGCAGGCATTTTGGTAATTATAATTACCCCTTTAGCTGACTTCAGGCTTCACAAAGCAGGAGGTATACAGTTGGGTCATGGTAGTCTGAAATGAGAAGTCAACTGCCAGTTAATTGATGTTTTGCCGTATGAGTATACGTTGCCCAGGGAGCATCACGTGGAGGCAAGTCTATCACACACCCCTCACCTTCTTACATAATTCAGTTCTCCCGTATAGTGCCATTCGAGAAGTATTTCACATCTTCATTAGACTTGCCATGGAGAAGTACTTGGTGTATCCCAATAAAGAGAGTTTTCCAAATGGATTTTTTGTCGAGTGCAGAGATTGAGTTGAAAATCACGATGTGCTCACTAAAAGAGGCTTGTTAACACTCATCACCATCCGAAACCAGAAGCTTAGTTTCTATTTCTACTCACTCCAAAGACCTATTTTAAGCACTAACCGCTTTGGAATTACCGGAGAGCAATTTTTACCCACTGCAGATTTGTCGACATCAGACAGGAAAGGGTGTTTCCGCGAGGTTAAGTGATCGTGTGTGTGTCAATAACTCATTTCCCTCAATTCTGTTGGCTAAAGCAGTTTTCCTTTATTTCAGTGTGAGTTTAAGGGAGGGTATATTGAGAACTTCAAGGTGGATGAGACTTGAGTCTATTGCCATAAGGTGTAGGTAAACTTTGAGATGATTTTGTCTTGCGTAAAAATGCTCGCAATTGTAAGCCAATTATTACTTATTTAGCATGAAATAGAAATGTACTATCACGTCGCGACATGGCTGAAGATCCTCAACTCGTTTAGAATCAATAGGGTTCTAATTGGAATGATTGATCTATGATTATTTTTCTCCGCTCATCTCAGAAGTCTGAGTGGCTAAAACAGGGAGTTTTAATTGACACAACTAGGTCAAATCTATCCTTACTCTCAGCAGTTCTACCTTAATTCATTTCGTTGGGTGCCAAAAGCCTCCAAAGTGCAGCCTTTTTAAATAAATCTCGGTACACATCTTTGAAAGAAAGTCACATTCTAACCACCATCGATTTCGTGACCTATGATGCACTCTAAATTTATAAAAGTGCATTTTTTTCTTTTTTCCATATTTCAGCCGATGACATCTCAATTTGTCAGTCAGCTCCAAATCCGAGGTATCGACGTCCCGTACACGCTTGCGATATATGAGTGCTTTTGAACCCGAAGAACAAGTCGGTCTTTCAGGAACTTATGCTGATACTACTAATAATTATATCGTTTGTGTGAGCCCTAACCAAGAGGCCTGTTATTATCATAGATGCAGTGCAACTATATGCTTTTACTGATGCAGAAATAAATCAGAACCATTGTGAACTCATCCTTTGTCTTCATTCCAGTTTGTAGTGTTTTGCTGGCTAAACCAACAGTGGAACATACATATTCCACCAGACGGCTCAGAAACAGAAGCTTTTGGTGGGTGAAATGCCAAAAATAGCTTTGAAATACCGTTTTTCACAATTCGATCTTTTATTGAAACAGTGACTTCTGCTATCTTTGTTTCCAAAGCAGTTTCGCATCAAAATATGCTCATGGTGACATTCTACTTAGGTCATTTGATAGGATTGGTTCATGCCAAACAGGGGGGAATCTGGCCGTAACCGGTTGACGGAGTGCACACTGAGAGTCTATTCTCAACTTATTTGACAGTTGGGTTGGGTAGTTTGAGGGATGGCTAATGATGTCCACTTCACAGTAATGGGCATCGGATTCGTGGCATTCGGTTTCGAAGGCGAACACATTAGCCAATGCTCCACTAATTTCAAACCCCATAATTTTGCTGCTATAACCCGAAGATCATATTTATTTATTTATATCAAATGGATGGCGCTATGATAGTTATCATTAGCCCTTTAGTTGACTTTAGGCTTCATGGAGGGAGAGGAACATCAAATCGAAAAAAGTCGAGAGGGGGAAACAGCAGAGTGTTTTAAAGGTGTAAAAGAAACAGACACAAAGGTAGAAAAAAACAGCAGAGTGTTTTAAAGGTGTAAAAGAAACAGACACAAAGGTAGAAAAAAGGTGAGGTGAGTACTGTGGCAGTGGTCGAATATGACATACAGTGGGGTGATGGTAGTTTGAAGTCAGAAGTCAACTACCGATTGATAGACATTGCTGCCGTATGAGTATACGTTGCCCAGGGTGCACCGCGTGGAGGTAAGTCTATCGCACGCCCCGTATCAGTAATATGGAGACCAAAATTATGAAAAACTATAATAAATATGCGTATTAATAAAGTATTGTGAAATAACTGCTTTACTGTCCTATCCCTCTCTAAGTTGTGTTTCAGTTTTGAGTCAAAAATAGCTTCGAGATATCAGTCAAGCACATTAATCATTGTGGCAGAAATTTAACTTCTAAACATTTATTTATTTATATTAAATGGCAGGCGTTTTGATAGTTATCATTAGCCCTTTAGTTGACTTCAGGCTTCACAGAGGGGAAGGAACAACAAAGTGAAAAAAAGTCGAGGGTGGGGGGAACTGAAGAGTGTTTCAAAGACGAAGGTTGAAAATTTAGAAAAATGTGATGCAGTACTGTGGCAGTGGTCGAATATGACATACAGTGGGGTGATGGTAGTTTGAAGTGAGAAGTCAACTGCCAGTTAATAGACTTTTGTGCTGTATGAGTATGCATTGCCCAGGGTGCACCACGTGGAGGCAAGTCTATCGCACAGAGGTAACCATTAAAAACTGTCGATTTTGCAAACATGAGGCTAGGTTAGGCACAATATACATATATATTATTAGACAGCGCGAATCCGTGCTCATGTCTAACTCTGCATTCCCACGAATATAATGAAAATGTAGTTAGGCTTATATTTGTGGATTCGGATTCTCTCAGTGGCCTTTCAATCGAATCACCAACTGAACTTAACCCTCCCATACGCCTTAATTAAATTTCCCACTTTTCAAGACCGAAATCTTAACATTTCATCGTCTCACCTCACTAATCGTTACAACAGTGGGAACTATACTTTCTTCTATTGTAATTATCTTCTTTTAATATTTGATTTATTTCCGATTAAAAAACTAGATAATTATGGATGGAATGTATTTTTCAGAAGAACATAGAGATTGTTATGAACCGAATTCGTAACAAATATTAAAGAATGCAAAACTTTGTCATAATATAGTATCATTTATGTAATTAAAACACTTGAAAAACGATCGTCTTTGAGAACGATGTTAAATAATTATTGATTGGGCTAGATCTCGCAGTGAGTAAACAACTACTTATATCCTCACAAGTAAGACGGATTAAGACCATGTCATCTTCCATTCACATTAACACTTAATCTATCGAAGTTAATGAACCTAAACAAGCATATGATATGTTCTCTGTGTTTTGTATTGTTGTCTTTAACGGTAAATTGTTCGAGATCAATCAAATAGTATTTGTTCCCAGCATGTATAAAGTGATTTCAGATGGTTACTTTCGATGAAAACTAATACCAATTGAATGTTAATTAAAATATAATCACCTGATACTTCTAGAAGCACGATGACCTTGGTTTCAACCTATCGAATTTGATAGGACTATCTATACGTGATTCCAGAACGCTGATTGGTCAAATTCTTGCGATTGCACAATAAAAGAAGTTGAAATGTAGGCAAACCATTTTATGAAATGTTTCTCTGTACTGTGATATTGAAAGCTCTTCAAACAAGTACTTTTAATATCAACAACAGAAAGATCCTCAAAATTTTTGGAGGTGTGTGGGGGGATGGGTTATGGAGCATTACAAAATTCGACTAAAATGCATTTTAGCTTGTATTATGTCAATGCTCAATCGTCGAAAGAGATGGGACTTAACTCACATAAAAATTTGTCAGAAGAACAGGTAAACTAGACAGATCAAGTGAATTTTAGAGATACTATTTAACGAAGCTAACTTTTAACTACTATCACCAATAGCAATGAAAAAGGAGTGAAATAAGAAGGAGATGAAAATAAACTTAGGCACATAATAATAACTATTATCCGTATTATCAATTTTCCTCTGATGAACAACAATTAAAATTATCCCTCTGTAAAAATTTCGGTATCGAAGATTTAAGTCAACTATTGTGACTGTTAGAATGTGATAAGGCATCCAAGATTCAGCCTTATGGAAAAACTTTATCAACACCAACCTCTCTGAAACAGCGTTATTCATTGCGGTTTGATATCTCAGTCAGCAGGTCAATGACGAAATTAATATAGCAGCAACTGAGCAGTGAGTTTGACTTTTGTAGATATTTTATAACTTTTAGCGCAAAAGAAAATTCTTAGGTATGATGAAATCTATGCCTCATGTAAACCCTACTGTTAGCCAAGATTAGATTGTGGATCAAGCCATATATCAGTGAGACCAAAATTTTCTTTTTCGCTAAATCTTTTCCAGACTTACTGTTGGCTCTCACAGTCCTTTCCATCATAATTTTTTTCCTATTCTAAAATTTTTAACATTTTCCTGCGTTCCTCTCTTTGGTACTATTTAACCTGATTCATTGAAAACGTGATTGAGAAGTACTCTTTTACTTTGAAATTTCTGGCATTGTCGTTATTAATATCGTTAGGTTATTATACTTCTAGAATTTGACATGTTTAGGCTGTTCATGTTGCATTCCAATGCCAACTTCGAACATCAAACACCGATGAATTCTAGCGTGCTTGCGCCTTAACAACACTTTATCCAACTTCGTTGAAGTGAATAAGCCAATCAATAGCAGAATTGTGAAATGCCATGACTTTCAGTCGTCATTCTTTCGCCTAAAATTAATTTAACAAAATGTCACAACTTTCTCTCCTTTAACATAAATAAATGAACTCTAATTCTCTCGCATGGCCCTTAAACATGTCGTGTAAATGTCTAAATTATAGATCCTTTGAGATATTAAAGAAAAAAGGCGCAATTAGATCTGCATATCTTGTTAAAATTTTATGTACACTCCTTTTTTCCACTTGAAATCAGAAAAGAATACAAGTATTCATATATGTATAGTTAAAAGAGTGAGGGAGGCTGAGAGCGAGAGATGTGGGCCAGAATGGGTCCGTAAGTTTCAGCCTTCTCGCGGGCAAATAACGTCTTTGGGTGAGGGATACGAATGAAACGAGATAGAGATATGGTGGTGGTGGTGGGGGTGGTGGG